TCATGGAAGGGTTTTCGGCACTAGCTACGCCGTTGGCACGGTTGATAAAGAAGGAGACGAGGTTTGAATAGACGGATGAGTGCGAAAAGTGTTTCCAAGAATTGAAACAGAGGTTGACGACCGCGCCAGTGTTAGCGATCTCGTCAAGTCCGGGAGGAATTGAGAATCACAGTGACGCGTCGTTAGGAGGATTGGGATGCGTGCTAATGCAACACGGGAAAGTAGTGGTATATGCATCGTGTCAATTGAGACCGTATGAGCTGAACTATCTGATGCATGACTTGGGATTGACCGTAATTATATTTGTCCTTAAGATTTGGAGGTATTACTCGTGTAGGGAGAAATTTTAGATTTATACAGATTATCAGAGTTTAAAGGTATCAGTTTTCTCAAAAGAACTTAGCCTGAGACAGCGTCCTTGGATGGAACTCCTTAAAGACTACGACTGCGATATTTTATATCACCCCGGAAAGGCTAATAAGGTAGCGGATGCACTGAGTTGGAAATCGAGCATTGCGCATATGATGGTCAAAGAATAGACCTTGTTGGAATGAGTCCGAGATTCAGAGTTTAAGTTTGAAGTGAGCCATGTTTTCAAGTCTACTTGTCGTATTGAGGATTGAACCGGAGATCCAAACTAAGATTAATGCTTTACAGTCGACGGACCCAGAGATTCAAAAGATTCTGAGTAAGGATGCCACAAAAAGGAAATTGGATTTTTAGGTATCCGAGGATGGAATACTGAAGTTCCGTAGACGGTTGAGTGTACCCTGTGATGCCGAGCTTAAGGAGGGGATTTTGTCAAAAGCTCACCATAGTAATTACAGTATTCACCCGGGGAGTACAAAAATGTGTCAGAATTTACAGCAGCATTATTGGTGGAAAGGCATGAAAGTAGATGTAGCCAAGCACGTGACCGAGTATCTAACATGCCAACAAGTGAAGGCACGGCATTGTAAGCCGGGTGGATTGTTGCGGTCATTGGAAATCACCGAATAGAAATGAGAGCATAACGCGATGGACTTTGTTATGAAACTACCAAGAAGCCAAATGGGCCATGATTCAATTTGGGTTATAGTAGATCGGCTGATAAGATCAGCACATTTTCTGGCAATGCGAAAGGACTTCGCGTTAGGAAGGTACGCAAGATGGTGCGTGCAACAGATAGTTCATCTTCATGGAGTACTAGTGACGATCACTTCAGACCGTGATCCTAAGTTTACTGCCGCTTATTGGAAAAGTCTTCATACGGCATTAGGAACAAGGTTACAGTTTAGCACGGCCTATTAGTCGCAGACGAATGGCTAGTCTGAGAGGACGATTCAGACTTTGGAAGATATGCTGCGACCATGTGCATTGGATTTTAGGGGAAGTTGGAAAGAATAATTGCCCTTGGTTGAGTTTGCCTATAAAAATAGCTATCAGCAGAGTTTTAGAATGGCACCGTTTGGGGCATGGTATGGCAGGGTTTGCAGAACACCAGTTTGTTGGGATGAGTGGGTGAGAGGAGCATCACGGGTCCCAAGTTGGTTCAGCAGTCAATTGAAACAGTCAGGGTGATTTGGGAACACCATGGAACCAAAGATACGATGTGGGAAAGTGAAGAGTTGATGCGACACCAGTACCCTCATTTGTTTGAATAGTTGGGTTGAATTGTAAATTTCGAGGACGAAATTTTTGTAAGGGGGGAAGAGTTGTGACATCCCGAATTTCGGCCCATTTTTGGGATTTATAAAACGCGTAATTCGTCAGTGCGCTTATAGTAAAAATCTCGCCCGGGAACTGATCACTCCCGGTTATTATTTTTAAATCTTGAGATTTCGCTAGAATCGCATTCGATCGAATTTGGCCGTTATTTAGACCTCGAACTTGGCAGTCGATTTTCGGGAGTTTCAGGACGAAATAAATTGGATGGTGTCAATATTATCGTAGCCAGCGTTGAGATTGTCAGGAATAATGGAAAAATGGGAGTTTTTGACCGGGTGCGAATTTGGACTAGTAGACCTCCCTCGCTATAGTTTGATTTAATTAATTCGGCCTTTGTCCCTTTTTATATGCGAGGCTTATTTTGGACCGGTAGATCGCTTTCGGTTTTGAATTTGGGTCATCGGATCGCATTTAATATTTGAATCGTAACCGTTAAATCGATATTTAGTTTGAACCGTGTCCGTTGGTTCGTGCTCGAGGATAAATATTAACTTTTCTCTCTCTTTCTCTCTCCTCTCTCCTCTGCCGCGCCGCCCGTCCCCTCCCCCGCGCACGTTTCTCTCTCTCTCTCTCTCTCTCTCTCTCTCTCTCTCTCTCTCTCTCTCTCTCTCTCCTTTCTTTTTCTTCTGGCCGCACGTCTCCTCTGCATGCGTCCCGTCCCCTCAACCACGCCCATGCAGACCCACCCCCTGACACACTCTCTCTCTTCCTTTCTCCTTTTCTTCTCCTTCTTCTTCTTCCTTTCTCTTCTACTTCTCCCTTGCCGCGTCATTCCATCTGCGTCCGCTCATTCCTTTTCCTGTTGCCCGACGCCGATCGCTCGAGCTCGCTCGGCCGTCGCGCGCCGCCGTCGCTAGCTCGACCGCCGCGCCGCGCCGCCCGACCAGCCGCTTGCAGTTCCCTCGGCCGCCCCATCACCTGGTCAATCTCCCCTCCCCCGACTCCCGTCCACCGCAGCTCCTCCCCGCCTCCGCAGCCGCCACTCGGTCGCCCTCCGCCCGACCCCGCTCTACCAGCCGCCGACGCCGCCGTCTCCCTCGCGCCTTCGCCATGCCGCCGCCTCGCTCGGCAGCTTCGTTCCGATGCTACCTTCCTCCTCTCCCGAACGCGCGAGCTCAGCTCGCCGCCGCGTCCGGCGAGTCCCAGCCGTCGTCCAGTCGTCCGGCCAGCTCCCCGGCGCCGCCCCGACGCATGAGTGTCGCTGTCGTCACCGCCGAGCGTCCCCCAGCCACACCAAACGCCTCAGCCAACTTCTTCTTCTCCCCGTTGGCTTTCCGACGTTCGTCGCCGCCGCTCGCCGTCGCTCCAGCCGGCCAGCCTGACACCACCCGACCTCGCCACGAGGTCGCCGTGCCGCCCCGTCACCGCCGGTTCGCCCCTCTCCCTCAGTCCCGACCTCTTTCTCTCTCTCTCTCCCTCACCCTCACCCCGGCTGACTTCTCCCCCTTCAGCTCGCCGCCGCCGCGTCGCCGTCGCCGCCGCCGCGTCGCCGTCGCCGCCGCGTCGCCGTCCCGGTCCCGCCCCGGCCAGCCGGCCCGGCCCGGCCAGCCAGCCCGGCCGTAGCCGGCTCGTCGCCCACGCGACCAAGCCGCGCGCCCGTCGCCGTGCCCGTGCCCGTGCCCGTTCCGCGCCCGTGCCCGCGCTCGTGCCCATGCGTGTGCCCGTGGCCGAGCCCGTGGCCGGGCCTTGTGCCCGTGGCCGAGGGCGTGCCCATGGCCGAGCACCGTGGCCGAGCCCCGCGCCCGTCGCGCCCTTGCCCGCGCCTAGTTCGGCACTGTTCACCCGGGCCATTTTAGGCCCGAGCCGATCTTCTCCGGGCCAAAACCAAGTAAGTGACATTCTAATCCCTATTTAGTACAATGGGTATTATTAGACTTGTTTAGAGATTAATTAGAATTAATTCAATGACTAAGTTAGAAAATGAATTAGTTGGTTAGAATATGATTAGTACTTGAATTAGGTGATAAGTGGTGGATTAAATTGTGATGATTGCGTGGCAAATTGTGACGTGCTAAATATCCGTATTGTCTTGGCGTGTGTGAGAAAGTTGACGTGTGATTGTGGCCGGCTTGAATGTCGGAATCGTGAGCTTGTGAATTGGAATTGGGATGATCGTTGGTGTATGTTTGTGGCTATTGTTGGTGGGTCAATGATTGGCTTATCGTGGCATTTGTGAGTGGAATTGATAGCTGAATGTGACCGACTTGAAGGTCGGGTTGGTGGAATATTGTGGTGAGCATGCCTTGAGTTTGATTGGTATGACTTGTGAGAATGGCGAATTGTGTTGTGGCGCATGTGCATGAGAAAAGCCCGGATTGATCGGAGGGCTGCCAACCTGAGGCGTGGTTACGCGGGTGTGGCGAGAAAGGCATGACCAGACCTGAGGCGTAGGTTACGCGGGTCATTGGAAGGGGAAAAATGTCCTGAGGCGTGGTTACGCGGGACCGAGCCCGGCTTGATCTAAGGGCTGAGCCTGAGGCGCAGTAGCGCGGGCTGTGAGATTGGGCCTGAGGCGCAGTGGCGCGGGCAGTGTGAAAAGACCTGGGAGGTCGTGGAAAGTTGTTCGACCACGCATGCGAGTTGAGTGTGATTGAATTGATTGAACTGATTGGACTGGCTGATCGAATGTGTGATTGAATTGGTGGGATTGATTGAGTGCCAGTGTGGTTGGCGTTTGTTTGATTGTGATATGTTATTGAGTTAGTATTATTGTCTTGTCGCGATTTGACTAACGTGCAGAGTTAGTACGCGTTCTGATGGCGAGGTAAGTACAATGATGCGAATTTTATATGTTATGGGGTAGATTGCATGTACGACTTGTCTGGGTACGCATTGGCCTACGTGGGGTTTAGGGTGTTGCTTATTGAGACTCGTTCTCACGGTTATTATATAACCATTTCAGATTCGCAACCGTGAGTGATTGGAGACACTGCAAGGGTATCTCGGAGATCGAGGACGGGTCAAGTATATTGTATTTTGAGTCCCCCTTTGTAGAGGAGTTAAGTTTGTAAACCTTTGTCCCTTTTGAGGAATGTGGTTCTGTTGTTGTGGCCTAGCTTAGGAATTGTCTTTTTGTAGACGTCGTATGTATCTGCCAAGTGTAGGAATTACAGTTATTGTTTTGTGCTATTGTTACCCCTTGTCATTATTAATTGTCCGGGTTGTTTCTATTTGTTTCCGCGCGTGCCTAATCTCTGATGTTTGGGTTGGGTCGGCGACGTGTCTGGGACGTCGCGTTCAATGATCGACCATCGCGGGATGATCGCGCGCTCGTAGGGTGCGGGGCGTGACACATTGCATCAGTATCCATAGGTTGTAAATTGCTATTAGGGACGTCGTTTCTGGGAATGGGGGATATCGTAACAAAAAATCATTTCGACTGGTTACTATTCAGCGACCCCAAGATGGTGAAGGCTTCGAATGTAGTCTCTCGGCTCATGAATGACATTGCCTCACATAAGGTAGATAAAAGCTATACCAGTGAACAACATCAATTCATCAATAGGCGAAATGAAATAATTTTCATGAGGAATTTGTTTACAGTTGGAGCAAGACAGAGGGCATGTGCCATCTTTAGTGGAGTATTTCATGAAACAATACAGAGTTACGGAGCAAGAGGCTAAGGAGGCTCTCCATAAACAAGTGGTTGACGGATGGAAAGACATGAACGAAGAGCTGCGCCATCCGACCGTCGTCCCCGAGTTTCTCCTCGTGCGAATTCTCAATTTCGCACGAGTCTTCAATGTGGTGTATAACGATGGAACAGATCACTTCTCTCTTGCTGGAACCAAGTTCAAAGAGCTTGTGACTTCCCTTCTCGTCGATCCATTACCAATGTGATGGTTTGGATTAGACATTTTCGAATCTGCTCTGTGCACAACTTGAATTGTGTTAGCACTTGATCATTTGTCTTTGTAGATTTCGAATGCAAAAGATAAGGAGTCCGTAAAAAATGGCACACTAGAATATCATAATGTTCTATATATGCCATGTAAAGTTTCTTGATCAATGTCAAATATATATGTTTTAATATATGCTTATGGCGGTCTTAGTACGGTCAGATCAGCACAAATTGCATTATCCAACAGAATTGGAACCAAGTTTCGCATTTCGGACAAAGTAATTCATTTGTCAGTTGTATACCTGATATTGCAATGATCCAATCACTATGCCCTTATGATAAACTCTAACCTACTTTGCATAATCTTCATTATATTGTACTTATTTATATCATCCTTCAATGTAACTAAACAATCTGTCTTATCTCAAAGAAGTGATAACTATCAAATCAATCATAAACTTATTGTACGGATGCCAATTCACTCCCGAACTTTTCAATTTTATCGATGTAGTCCTAAACCTTTGTGCGATGTTCCAATGTGTCATTCCAGCCAATTGCTATAGAAAATTGCTAACGTGGCATCCAATCATCGCTGACCATCTTACGTGGTACACAGATGTGGACAACTTTACTAAAAACGACATTCAACGTGGATTGCCATGTCAAAGATTTCTGGGGGCAATTGACCAGAATGATTATGTGGGCAGAATTAGAAAGTTCAAGACTGAATTGATATTCGAGAAATAGGCTTATAACTGAATTGATAATTTTTCCCATAGAAGTCTACTCCTTGTTACACCATATCTTTTACAAGAACGTTTCCCCATCCTACTTGTTCTACATGACGGAGCAATCTACGCTCTACGTAAGTTTGACGAAAAAATGGAGTTGAAAACTGAAATATGTTCAGAATTTGATGAAAAATGTGGTCGATCGATACCAAGATGGATTTCAAATTCCTAATCAGTTGTAATTACTGATTGGATGGGTTGTTTGGGTCAGACGAGTCTGAGGTCCCGTGCAAAAAATAATTGCAGCTTTGGGAGGACATGCAAACTTGACTAATCATTTTGCTAAAATATCCTTTTAATAAAAATTTAAAAAAAAAAACACAATATTTTCAAACAAATTTCATCAAAATCTTAATTGGAAAAAAAACAAAGGGTATAAAGAGATTTTATTGTTTATAAACAAACAAATCCTCGTGCGATCTGTCCAACAGGCTGTGAGCAAATGGTATGAAGTACTCGGTAAACAGAATAGCTAACAATTTCGAGAACCACGCGACATAGGATGCTCAGCTAGACAATATTAGAGACAAATCAACAAATTTGAGTTTAATTGGATACTAACACTACAAAAAAAAAACAAGGATTTAGCCATGGAAAATTAACGACGAATAAAATGATGTATTGGCATCAGAATGCCTGTCATGAATATCCTTTGAGGGATATCAGATTAGTCCCCTTTCAATCGAATGAAGAAAAGACCAAGTTCATAGACTGAAACAAATCCTTTCTAATGAAGGTCTTCCAAACGATCATTTCAAGCATTTCTTGAAAGATTGCAAGCATTTTGTTCAAATAATTCCTTGAAAATGAAATTTGATTGGCTGAAATGCATTTAATACAAAGAATGCATGTTTCAAAACCAGGTTTCAAAAGTTTTTGGTCAACTTAAAACCAAGTTTTCAAATAGTTTGTGGTAAGCTAAAAGAAAAACCACATTTCAAACGGTTTTGATTAATTTCAAAATTACTTTTCAAAATGGTTTTTGGTCAACTAAAAACCATATCAAGGTTAATGAAACCTCAAAATCACAAAACTCACAGTTAAGGTATTCATTGTTTGAAGTCTTCCCAAAGTCCTACCGGTGAGGAACCACTAGGTAAAATTCAAATCCTATTGGCGAGGAGCCTTTAGGCAATTTCCAAAATCCTACAGGTGAGGAACTACATGGCAAGTCTCCAAAATTCAAGTCGTATTGGCAAGGAGTCTTTAGGCAATTTCCAAAATCCTACAGGTGAGGAATCACATGGCAAGTCTCCAAATCTAAAGTCCTATTAGTAAGAAGCCTTTAGGTAATTTCCAAAATCCTACGGGTGAGGAACTACATGGCAAGTTTCCAAAATCCAAGTCCTATTGGCAAGGAGCCTTTAGGCAATTTCCAAAATCCTACGGGTGAGGAACTACATGGCAAGTCTCCAAAATCCAAGTCCTATTGGCAAAGAGCCTTTAGACAATTTCCAAAATCCTACGGGTAAGGAACTACATGGCAAGTCTCCAAAAATTTCAAGTCCTACTGGCAAGGAGCCACTAGGCAAATTCCAAGGTCCTATTTGACGAGGAGTCATTAGGTAAATATCTAAAGTCCTACTGATGAGGAACCACTAGGCAAATTCAAGTCCTCAGGCGAAGAGTCTCGGACGTTCATGGTTCGTGAGTTCGTCCTTAAACTACGAAATCAGAATAATCATCATAATCATCACTACCTTCAATTCATGCCCTTGGATGAGCAACAAAGAAACTCTCACAAACAGGTATGTCTCTCTCCCTCAATCATTAAGAACTTTTCAAAATGTGTTCCAAAAAGAGAACCTTTGGATTAGATCACGAATTTTAAAAGCAAAGACCCTAATCAGTTGTTGTGAAATTTCCATATTATCTTGTTTAGTGAGTCGACTAAAAATTCAGATGTCATCTTGTCTTTGAAATCAACCTCTAACGAGCTCAATCTCAAAGAGAAGCAGCTGTTGACACCTAATTTTAGATCATTTTTTTTTCATATTTTAAAAAATTTCAAAATTAGGTCTAGGAATCTTGGCCAAGCCAAGAAACCTATTTCTAAACCAAAGAATAATTTTTTAGCATTTTTCTGCATTTTTCCTTAATTTCTTTTAGTCAAAATAATCGAGAAATCAACAAAAATAGCAAATGGAATCAGAAAATTCCATAAAAAATAGTCATTAGTCTTATTTTAAATCCAATTTCATAAATACATTATCAATTTTGAAAAATCTCAATCGGGTATATGTTTTTCCCAAAATTGGGCAAAGTTAAACCCGAATTGAACCAAAAATGAAATTAAAGTTTTGCTAGTCATTTTTAAGTCAAAGTGTCTTCACAACAAATGATTTTGGGACCTTGAATTGCATAAGGGTTGGTCCAATTGCATAATTTGACATAAAAATCAAAAATCCCGAAAATTTGATTGAAAATTAAGAATTTTGAACCCGAATTGGGAATCGTGCCCAATATGAAATTTTTGAAATGTGAGACCATCATTTCTAGGGTTAATCAGACATGGATAATTCAATTTTGACATCAATTTTGCCTAATCAGGTCATTAGGACATCAAATTGAACAAAACCTTATTAACCCAAGTACAAAAATGAGAAAATCTTGGGCTTAATTACAATAAAAATTGGGGAAAATTATATCTTTGGGTTTGGAATATGATGGGGAATCCAATTTTGAGGTTTAATTTGAAAATATCGGTTGAAATTGAGTCCAATTTGAGTATTTGGTCAAAATAGGAACTGCCGGGTCGGGCGGGTCGACACGACCCGACCCAAACAATGCATCTTCTTCGCCCGACTCAGCCCGAAGCACAATAAACCCAGAAAACCGAATTAAACCCACCACTTCACCAGTCATTTCCAGCTATTTTGGCACGTTTTAATCGATTGTGCCAGCTAGAAAATGTCCAACTGGCACCATTTAACGACCCCAACCGATCGGAATTCGGTTCTAACAATTTTTGAGCGGGAAATCAAGCAACAAAAAAATGAGAAAAACTGACTGGAGAGGGGGGAAGCTGTTCGAGGAAATTCCGAAGAGAAAGAGGAGAGAGAAAGGAGCAAAACCAACGCGGAAAAGTTAGAGAGAGAGGGTCGAGAGTCCCCTCACAAGTGCTCGGTGCCGCCGTAGACGGCGGAGCACCGGCGAATTATGGTTTGGCCGTGATTCTCCCCTCACCGTTCCAATCAGTCCGGCTGACTGTGAACGCCTGAAAACGAGCTTGGTCCGGCCGATCCAAACCTGTTCCGGCAAAACCAAGACCACCAGGGTGAAGACCAAGTGTCAAGGAACAACCCTCGGGGCGCAGATCACTTCGATAATTTCATTTGGACATCGAACGAAGCAGGTAAAATTCCTTCGTGATCACGGTTTTTCCAAAATTTCCAGATTGTGTTTTAGCTCAAACTTGTGTGTTTCTTCGTGATTTTGTGATGATTGATGCTCAAAACATATTCTAACTTCATTTTCATCATTTGTTGGCATTTTGAATGGTTAAAAATGCACAAACCGAATCGGCCGTGCATTAAAACCCCTCGCCGGAAAACCCGAAGCCTCGCCGGAGCGTCACCGTGACCATAGGTCATCTAAGTAGGCTTCCTTTCACTTTGTTTGATGATTTGATGCTGATTGGAACCGATTTAGACGGTTAGGGCAATTGGTAGGATGATTTGAATGCTTGAGAAATAGATATGATTAGTTTACAAGTTTGGATTTTGGATCGATTTTTCGCCGGCCGACGAACGTCCGGCGGCCATTTGATTAGTCTAGTTCGGTACTAGAATATGTGGACTTAATGATGGTTCAATTGGAACGGCGAGACAGTCGCCAGAAGGTCGCCGGATTCTGATCCAAAGTCACGGTCTCGAAAACTCTAAACTGGAAATTGTGCATATCAGGTGTTTGTGAAAATGCCTCAATGAAAATCAAGCAAAACGGCGCCGTTTTTGGCCCTGGTCTCACCGGAGGAAGTGACCGGCGACCGCCGCCAGCGACGCCTGGTTCGGCCAAGCCGAACAGGGTTTGAACCGGGCCGGTCCAATTCATTTTCCCCGACGGGAAAATTCAAAAAAATATATATAAATAAATAATCCGAAAATTTCTACAAAATAATAAAAAATCAGAAAATTCTAAAAAATTAGAAAAATCAAAAAAAATTATAAAAAATAGGAAAATTATAAAGATCATAAAAAATTAGGAAT